AGGAGGCTGCCCAGCACCTGAGCAGTCCTGCGGGCTGAGGCGAGGGGGGGCAGCCGTAGCAGGAGCTGTCTACGGACTCTGCAGGGGGTGGGGCAGCAGAACTCCCCGTTCTCTCCCCGCACACCTCCGCCTGGGACACACTTCAAGAACCGCTGCTCTAGGGCGGCTACCGCTATAGCGAACTAGCCACACTCAACTGCCCAAATAGCCACATTGGGCAAGCCAAGCAGCCCAATAGCCACATGTGGCTGGAGAGAAAGGGGGGATGGGCATGGGGAGAGAGCTGGGACAGGCTGGCTGGCGGCACCTTGTGCAGTGGGTCACACGAGTGTGGGACACGCTTGGGTCCAGCTGACAGGGCTTGGTGCTCATCTCCACCAAGGTGCCTGTGCACAGTGTTGGGGCCAGACTGTGAGGGCAAAGGCAGGACCCTGCAGCCTTCCCGGCTCATGCAATGGTGAACACGAGGCTCCGGCCTGGCGGGGGCCGTGCACAGTGACGGCAACTGGCCTTTGCATGACAAGCGGGTGAAGGAGGCTGAACCGACAGCCCCGAGCTAGCAGCCTCTGCCCCCCTCCCCGGCTCTGCAGAGGCTACACTGCATACAGCTTTCCTGCTACTCTGGTGCCAGCACTGAGCAAGGCAGCTTGTCGAAATTAGCTTCACTCCATCAGCACGGAGGGCGCAGCAAGATGCCCGTGCCCCAGCAAAGTGAGCAGCCAGCGTGCCATGGCCACTGGCTTGGCTGCCTTCTCATGACTGGCCCCGCTCATCTCACTTCCTTCTGGGTCTGCAGCAATCCTGGCCACTACAGGCCTTGCTCCCAGTCCTAAGGGAGGTCTCCTGCCCTGTGCTGGGGCAGCAGGGGAGCCCAGGCCCACTTGCTCATGTGTGCCACACTGGGAGCCTGCTGGAATCAACCCCTGAGCGTTTCCCTGACTTGCTTCCCAGGGTGGGTCCGTCAGACGCAGACACAGGCCCAGCCCCTTGGCTGCTGGGCAGATTTGAACTTGGGACCTGTGGAGCTTAGTATAGGAGCCTCTACAGCTTGAGCGACGAAGCCAGCTGGCGCTCAGCCTCTCTCTCGCTGCAAGTGCCACTGGGTGTGTGGGCCACACAGTGTCTCTCCAGCATCCTGCCGAATGCTTCACCCCTCCCTTGGAGTCAGGCCTAAACTCCCTGTGCCAGGCTTCCTTTGACAGGCTGGTTCCAGTCCTTAATCACCTGCCTCCCCCCCAGGTGGCAGAATGGGGGGGCTGGGGTTGGTGGGGGC